GTGATATAGGAAGGTGGCTTTCTATGAATATTGTACCTAAAAAATCAGAGTTGTGAAACAACGTCATAGTTACAGTTTAAATGACTACAGCGCGTCAGGGTAACAGTGACATCACAATTAGAATATCTATACCTTAATATGGATAATTATTATACTCATTCCGTTTAGAAAGACTAACTTGTAAGGTATGTTCAGTGTCGCTCAGGTCAGTATTGAAGGCAACGAAGACAATACGTGCGCATAGTGAATAAGTGCATTGTTTTAAGAATTCTTCGCCTGCCACCAGAAGCGTATGCTCAAAAATGTTTTGATAGGAGCCTTCTTCGCGTTCTTAGAACCCACAGGGCAGGATGCACGTATGTAAAGGTACTCCAGCATAACAAAACCATCTTCTCATCTCCCTACCTTTCTATCGTCATTCAGCACTCCACAGTCCCCTTTCCACAGTACTCAAGCCAGAGACTAACATTTCTATTGAACCTTCGCACGTTCTGCTAACATATGAACACACAGCCACGCACCCACACGCACGCGAGAAAACACACACACACAAACACACACACGTGCGACAGAATATTCAGCTCATTCGCCGAACTTCGCTTGTATACGAACGCACAATATATTGATACGTGCCTTTACTATTCCCTAATGGCTAAAGGTACTCCGAAGTGTTGTCTAGTTACGAAGTTACAAACATGGAAAAGTGTAGGCCAACACAACCCTACAAAGACCTACTAAAATACTCATCGTATTACTTGACCTGATAATTAAAATATGATGGTCATACACGTAAAGCATCGTAATAAGAAATGCAGTGTTGGCGGCTGTAGTGTGCACAAGTTTTATTGTTCCATGTTGCGGCAAACAGCACAAAAAAGAAGCATACAGCGAAAAAATATGCGACAAAAAATAAATATATATATACATTCATTTGCCTCCTGTTCGTCCCTTTAAAATCACATGACTATAGAATGGTACGCCACTGAGTTTCCTAAAAATAAGTAGTGAGGAGTCTGGCGCTGTGATCGTTCAGCGACCATGGTGATGATGGGTAATATACAGATTTGCCTAGGTTTCGTACATGTGGACCTGAAATCGCACTTGTGGCTTCGTTTACTGCCATGTTTTGGTTTGGTTTGCAACGGATTTGTTCGAACTTATTCGTAATACTCAGTCATCGAAGCTAAATGAAGGAGAGTGCAGCCACTATAGACAGTCGTTTGCTGCGAACAAAGTGAATCTTTCAACATTCATACACCGAAATCGCTTCTAAAAAGACGTACGAGAGCGTCACCATGTTTCACGTACACTACTTACACCTACGCTAACACGGTAAGGTTGTGGCGGCTGCATTTTCGATGGAGGCGGAAATGTTGTAGGCTCGTGTGCTCAGATTGGGTGCACGTTAAAGAACCCCAAGTGGTCGAAATTTCCGGAGCCCTCCACTACGGTGTCTCTCATAATCATATAGTGGTTTCGGGACGTTAAACCTCACATATCAATCAACACGGTAAGGTTGAAGCTGAAAAACAGCACGTACGCTATTCGGTATACAGGAAACGGACGTATCTGCACTTCTGCACTTTGATCCCGCTATCGCGGTTCGCCTGGTATCCCCGTAAGTCCGGTATACTAAACTGTCTTATGTCTTCCGGGCGGACTAGTATTTCACAGTGGATGTTTAAAAGAGCAATGCTAACCAATCTTTCATTTGTTGTTGTAGCTATAAGGTTGAATTACTAGGGGTATCAGCGATAAAAAAGAACATTCCGCTTCAGCTGTGCTCACAGGCAGAGTCGCCAGAATCTTTAGAAGATGGGGCACGTTTGGGAACAATACCTTTGGGCAATTGGCAACCGTATGCAACGCAGACATTCTAAGGTTTCTCACTTCTTTCGCTTGCATTTCGCAGCCCGTATGCTACAAAGTCGCCTTGCAAAGCCGAAGTTGAGATATTGTTCGAGTACACGTCAGAAAACTCCGCGGCAGTGGGAAGAGTGGCAGATTCGGGAGTAGGGAAAAAGGGAAAAGGTTGGAAAAATAAAGGAAAGGGACAGAAAAAAAAAGCATCTTAAAGGGGTGCCGATGCATTGTAAAGCACTCACTGAACGGACCTAGCAATGAAACTACAGCGACTCACATCAGAATGCCCGAGACAGACAACCGACATGCAGGGATGGTGCACAGTACAGCGTAATTAAGTTAACAAGTTGCATGCGCTGGCAGTTGTCATAAAGTTGTCGTCGGAGTTCACGCGTTCTGAGAAATTAATTATGGTTCACTCTGCTCTGACCAAAACCGGAGTTCATTTATTCGTCACAAGTAAACCGATCCCTCGATATTTTGTGTGGCACGAGGCTGCTTCTCTTCGCGCCAGCGTAAGTGCTGAAAACATGAATGCGCGTACTAGTTAGAACAGTGTATAGATGGAATATCTATGCTGCACGGTGAAATGCCTATATCTAAAGCTTTGAATACGTTGACGTAAAGAGAAATGACGGCTGCACGCTTGCTAAGAACAGAAGACACTTTGCCGCAACCCTGTCGTTTGAGCGAGCAGAGAACGGGTGTTACGAAAAAAAAAAACAAAAAAGAGAACACCATTCGTTTTCTCATGTATATAAGTTAACTGGTGGGTACACACAGCGAACAAGCTTTTCTAAGTGAGTATGCATAGTCTGGTCCCAGGTGCATTTTCGTTTGAGATTTAGTGAACAGTTCTCAACAGTGATTACCTTGCCCTGGCAGATTGCAAAACATTGCCTCTACGATTTGAGTACTTCATTGCTATCAAAATTCACAGGGAACCCTAATGCCAACCAAACTTACAAGAAAGTCTACCCGAAAAATAATGCGTGCGAAGTCGCCTTGCCAAGGTGCCACATAACTTACAAAAACGATTACTTATTGCGTATTGCAAACATGCTTGGATGCACGCAGTCAAGTAGGAAATGTTCACTAAGAGGTTTCAATGCGTCAGGGCTGCTTGACATATAGAGCTTAAAATAAAAATTATTCCCATAAGCATGCAGTCATAAACATCGACAGTAAAAAAATCGCTCAGGAAATAAGCGAAAGGAATAAGCAATGATTAATGTGAAAAAAAAACATTCTGCATTTACATCTCATTCCACATAAACGGAGCCATCATCGACTTGAAATAACATTCGAATACACGTCACAATGATTCGTTTTCGAAGTCCTGTTAATTAAATGGTGGCCATGTACCTGTCCTTTACTGCATTTTACAGCGATTACTTTACTTTTACTATTTACTTACTCCTCCTCTCTTCACAGGCATATACGCATGGGGCGGGGGAGTCTCATGACTTTGTTATACATGTACACATTCTGCCCAAACTGTCGGTGATAGTTACGCCACAGAGACCCGCAGTGTAGGAGGGAGGGGTTTTTGAGACTTCAGCCTGCTCCACCCTCCTCTCCCAGGTTCAGTTGGTGTGACCCCCCCCCCCCTCCCGCCACGGACATATTTTCTGGCTTCGACGCTGCTTTATTTAGTGTTTACAAACTGTTTTAAGCGTGTGCGCAAAATATACGCCGTTGATCTCGCAGTATCGCCCCAGTATCCAGCATGCCCTAAAAAGTCTCCGTGAGCCTTAGCAGTTCATGATGCCCTTGTAGTCGCATACTATCATTTTCCTCATCTTTGGGTTGATTTGCAGTATTCGATCATGAGTGTCTTGCAGTCTCTCGAGTAGCGCTGCGTACTGCTGAGATTCCTCTTTGCTTGAGTCTTCGCCAAGTAGGGAAAAGGCTGCACTTTCATACTTGGCATATTGTTCTACGAAGTGCGTCATCACAGCCTGCTGCAGGAGTGGCGGGTACAACGAGTTGCCGTGGAGGCAAGCCTCGAGCGCGTCGCAAATCGCCACCCTGAGGGTCTGGAACCGCAGTTTGGCGTTGCAACTGATCGTTTTTTCAAGCCAAGTTTCAAACTCTCGTCCGAGCGCAGGTTCGTCGGCCAACGGCTGCTCAAAGAGCGACGACTGTATCGAAACCAGCACCGTCTTCAGGGTCATCTCCGGGTTCCACGAGGGTCCGTGAAACGTGCCCGGAATGCTGAGCGAGACGAGCCCACTGCTGTACACTTTCGGGTTGAAGCGCACCCTTCCGCCGTCTGTCGTCATGAAGCGTACCTGCGGTGGACAGGCTGGGTAGTCTCGGGGGCACTTCTGCACGAAATGGAAGAAGCCTCCCTGGTACGGCGTGTTGTCGGGCCCCAAGATGACGGCGTGGACGTACGTGATGTCGCCTTTTTCAGGCTCGACGAACACTCCAGGCACCGGGTTGTCAATGATGTTCTTGAGGTCATGGTTGAGTCTCAGCATACACTGCTTCGACGGCTTCTTACGCTTGGACAACGCAGTCTCCAAGCTGCACGCAGCTGCACTTCGCCGAGGTTCATCCATGGCAAAATAAGGGGCAGCGGCGGCTGTGAGCGGACGTCGCGGCACGGTGTGGGCCGTTTGCGCAGATGATGATTATTATTATTATCACCTATACAATGGCTCCCACCCACTCTGAGGTATTTACCAAGCATTGAGTTATTCATAAATAGAGTGATCACATAATATCTGTATGACTAATTATACACAATACTTAGACTAACTAATGATGCTAATCAAGATGAAAGCCACCCTGATTCATTTAAATATTTCTCTACCGTAGAACGGAGATCTCCAATGACCTAATGCTCCCAAGTATTGAATATTTGAAACTTTACCTCCACTACATTGCAATTGAACACCGTTTTGAAAAATTTTCTCATCAAAAAGTTGAAGCAGTTGCATGATAAGAAATGGTGCTGGATTCTTTACCCATCGTAGTAAAACGAGCAACGATGGGACGGAGCTAGACCACCTCTGAGAATATAAGAGTTCAATTTTTCAAAGCGACAGTGAGATCTTGTAAAAATAGCTGCCTTTTGTCGTGTTGAACGGAAACTCCTACGCGAAAGGAACAAGAGGTGTCGATACTTGTTTAAATGAGCGATTGACGTTTTTTGAGTGTCTTACATTTTGCACGCCTTCTAAATCTGTAACGAATCATCAGAGCTGTTGTCGGTATGATTGAGAATATCGAACCACAGATAGTAGCTTTCGCCATAGCGTGTGCGAATTCATTCATTTTTATCCCTTTCGGGCCTGGCACTCAGAATAATCTGGTTACAGCTACGTGGATAGGGACCACAAAATGAAAACTACATGATAAATGAGAGTCGTTTTTTGGATGTTCAGCACAAAGAGACAGAATCTCTAACTATATATGACATTATTTGATGTCGATGGGGAGCTTTCTTTATGCTATCACAACCGCCAGAATTTCCGCCAAAATGTCGACAAGAAATGGGGATGCGCTGTTTTAAAATGAATAATTGAAGGTTTCGAAGAAAATACCTATGCCTAAGTTTCCCTCAAATTGTGAGACACCTGATAATGCTTGTTCTATTTATTTGCTATAGATGCCTCTGTGAAAGCTCATTTATTCCTTGGTAATGAAAGAAAGAAGTAAAATAAATTTATTTTTATTCTGTGGAGCGCAACAGGGTCCCGAATATGACTGAGCCCCACGTAGAAACTGATAAGGCAACTTTTTAGAACGATTGGGATATATATAATCAAAATTACTCAGAGGTACTGGCTTTAATGACCAATGAAAGGAACTTCATTCACTTTAACATCGACTCATGGTTCTGATAAAAAAATTGAAGCGGTTGCATAATAGCAAATGGTGCTCACTCCTTTCACCATGGTTGTAAAACAAGCAACAAGGGGAAGGAGCCAGACCAGCTCTTTGCATATAATAATTTAATTTTGCAAGGCGAAAATGCAATATTGTAAAAATAACTGCCTGTTGTCGTGTTGAACAAATATTTCTACGCCAAGGGAACAAGAGGTGTTGAATCTCGTGTAGACGAGCGATAATTGTTTTCCTGGTGTCTTGCATTATGGCACGCCTTCCAAATCTGTCACGAATCATGAGAGCTGTTGTCGGTATGACTGAGAATATCGGACCACAGAGAGTAGCTTTCGGCTGAGCGTGCGCGCTGCTTCCTTCGGTCATCTAAGAGCATCACAGACCCGGACATCTAAGAGCATCACAGACCTGTTATTACTCTGTTTCGTGCAGCTTTGAACCGCTTGACCCTTTGAGAAGGCTGTAAGGTGCTCGAAACCCCGCTCCTCTTTCGCCAAGCACTGAAAAATCATTCGCCAAGCACTGAAAATTCATTCGCCAAGCACTGTAAATTCATTATGTTATGTTCAGTTCTCCATGTGTAAAATACTTGCATTTGTAAACTTTCTTTTGTGTGTAAATGACATGCCCTTTTCTAAATTACTTTTCTGAAGGAATCCCAACTAGCCTTTGGCTAGGGATTCAAATTGATTTTTTACACTGTTGTATACTGTACACTAACTTTATGTCAATAAAACTCAATTCAATTCAATTCAATAGGTTCGAATTGAGATATATGCGTGTTGTGCACATGTTAGTGTTCGCTTTGAAATAAAATTTTCATTTGCTAGAAAGCACTCGTCTGCTTCCTCTCTGAGCGTGTGTATATTTTTTAGCGCTTGTTTCATCATGGCTCTTTGACATGCTGATCGGATGGCACGTATTCATTTTTTATAAAATAGGCTATGAAATACTGTTGCCCAGGTTGCATATTATCCGGTTCATTGCCTTCTTTTCTGCATTCCATCTTCGCAGCTTCTTCAATATTTGCTGTGAAATATTGTTTCGCCTGCAAATTAGCCATATTTCACTGATTAGCGGCAGGCCCAAGCGGTCACTTTTCAGAAATTTCAAAGTGGCGGCGGACTTCTCCCAGGAATCACTTCGAATCGCCCGAATAAATCGACTTCTTAAATCCACTACTTAAATATTTTATAGTCTGTAATTGAATCCATCAATAATGTTCGTACACATCTGAATATACCCTCTGCCACAGTAAAGGGAACGCCGCAGGTAGCTCGCAGTTACCTCCTTTCTGTATTTTTTCCATTAATGCTGGACATATTTTTTGAAACACCCAGTATATGCGCACAAAAGCACATGCAAAATCACAAATCAAGCAAAGTGAGACCACAATAAAATTGTGTTTGTCTGAGGCCCGGAATAGGCACATTCTTGTTTAAAAACCTGCTTATGTGTAAACAGGTTTACACCGACTTATTTATCTTATCGCTTTTTATTGGCTTGATTACAAGCACATAGCCACAAGCTCCTTATATGAGCCACAGGCTCCCACAAGATTGGGCTTTGTTTGTTGAAGAAAAAAGAATATATCAAACTATATGTGAGGTTCAACTTCCCAAAACCACCATTGATTATGAAAGATGCCATGCTGGAGGGCTAGAGAATTTTTGACCACATGGGATTTTTTAACATGCAGCCAAATTTCAGCATACGGTGCTACAACATTTTCGCCTCCGTCGAAAATGCAGCCGCAGAAGCCGGGATTCGAACGCGCGACCTGTGGGTCGACAACCGAGTGCCTTAGCACTGAGACCTCTCCAGCGGGGCGAAGAAAACAGTCAACCTTTACCTCGTCAAAGGAGTACCCGGCCAATAGCACTTTGACTAGGGCGAGTTGGTACATAATTAGCTAGGCTTCAGCGCGATTTAGACGAAGGCCATACGCCACACCAGGACACAAACGAGCGCAGACATGCCCCCTCCTTCCTTTCTCTTTGAATATCTGGCCTCACGGCTCGTACCATGGGAAAGGCGAAGAAGGGAGCGTTGTAAGAGTGAGGGGGCATGCCCCCACTGGTTTAGAACAAGTAGGAGCAAACTTTCCAGAAACGGGGCAGGAGGTTGGGGGCATTAGCGCCTCGTCTGTATCCTCAGGAAATTCCTGTAAGCATGTAGACGTAGTCTGCTCAGCGCCCCTTCCAAAGTGGCACACAGAACACTTGAACCCATCTCTCTCCTCTTCTCGTTACGCCACTGGGTCTAACATCTTTTGACAGCACACTGTTGTAACCTGAAAAATTATCACGCTGCTTCGCGTTCTCCTTTATCTTCTCCTTCGCCACCCAAACACGTGCAACTGGCGTGCACTCACCCTATGCGTGCCAACATGTCCGACGCGAAATACAGAAATCGTTGTTCGAAATAACCAGCACAGAGCGGAAGAAAAACTTATACAAACATAGACAAATAGATTGAAAAGGGAAGAAAAAAGAGAGAAATAGATATAAAATACGGCAAACATTTATATAGAAATAAAACTTATTATAAAGTCAGAAAGGCAGGGAGAGATAAACACAGCAAGCACGCTGTATAGGGAAACTATAAAAAAATAAAACATGGACATAAAGAAAATGAAAGAAATACACAGAAACAGAGACAAAGAATAAAGAGGAAAAACAGAGCAAAAGACTAAAATAACGAGGGTCAAGAAACGCCGCCCAGCTACACAGGTAGTTTAAGCCTTCCGCCACTAATTCAAGGGTCGCCAATTTTGACTTGTTCAGCACTCGCCAGGAAATTCTGGGTTTTGTGAAATTCTACCACACAGCCACAGCTCTGCTTGTGAATACAGCGAAAACAACTTCCTATGCTGGAAAATGCAGTGAAAGAATTTTCATGCTGTCACACAGGTCCCGTTCATTAGGGAGGCGATCGCCGGGCTAATTCCAAGAGCCGAAGTATCGGCCCCCCGAACCGCACCACGAAAGCGTGGACAATTTAGAATGGGTCCTCATTGGCGCGCCAGCAGACGCCGGCTGTGGCCCAAAGAACAAGTCAGAGCCGAGAGTTGATAAACAAACAAAATTATATTCTCAATAATGGCAGATCGAAAACAATACACGAGTATGCACACTCCACAATAGTTGAGTACAATATGTCACCAATCAACCAACGTACTACACAGTACAATCAGCCACACTCAAACCAACGGACACAGACAACAATTCACACTACAATGCAGTCGCATGCATTTAACAACCAAGACACTTAAAGACTAAAGAGACAGAAAACCTATTCAGTCCAAAGTCCTTGGAACAAAAGTCTGAATGATACTCTTCCGAGAATCACTCACTCAAAGTCCAGCGTTGTTGTCGTTCCGCTGCCCCCTGAAGTTTCTCTTCCAGGAAACCTCGCGTCTTCAATTTGCCACTCTTCAAGCTTCAACTTCTTCGCCGGAAACACGTCGGCTTCACACACGCAGCTGTTGCCACGCGTCTTCGCTCGATAGCGGTAAACACACGCTCTTGTCTGTAGCTCGAGCCTTCACCCCTCAGGTGGAAATCCTCTTCTTCTCCTGCTTTGTCGCTACAGACAAAACCTTCGCCGACTACACGGCGGAACCCCTACGCGCTCTGGCGCTAACTTCCGTCTTCTCCTGCGAAGTTTCTCTTCCAGGAAACCTCCCGCTCCTGCTTTGTCCCTACGGACA